AAAATAACACGTAAAACACGCTCTAGGTGATAACTCCACTTGCTCTACTCATACTCAAAAGACATCACCGAACTCTGAAACTCTACCCCCGCGGGTATCTAGCTACTCTCTCGGTAGGCTCCACAAATGCTCATCTAGGTATCTTTCCTAGATTACTCCTCTACTCAATCCCTCTCTACAAGGATTCCCGCTGGATACTCTTACTCAGCACATACTCGAAAACGCATCACAGATAACAGCAACTCCTAGGCTAAGGCATCACAAATCAGGCCACTCTAGTCCTAAAATATGAAATACCTAGCCTATCTCTAGCATGCATAATATCTCATAATATCTCATAAACACATCAGGTAAGGGTATTTTGGGAAATCACCGTTCGGGCTCTGGCTGATTGTACACACTGCTCTTTCTCGTTTTCTCTTAGGAACTCTTGCTCGTTTTAGAAAAATCATTTATTTTGAAAATTTTCCTCAATTCCTCAGTTTGAGTCCAGATATACCCGAAGGTGCATCCGAATCCCTCAAACCAAGGCTCTGATACCAACTTGTAACACATAACACGGTAAGCACGAAGCTTAGTGAGTTCCCCAAAATACCACATATAACACATATTAGCCACTCGAGGCTATAACTCTGTGGACCCTCTGGCCCTAACTCTGTGGACCCTCTGGTCCTAACTCTGTGGACCTTCCGGCCCGAACTCTGTAAACTCTGAACAATACATAGCATAAATCACATAGAAATAATGCAGTGTATCACATCATATATATATAGCATACAAAATACTCTGTCACATAACTCTAATTACCACTCTAGGTAAAGTATAGTGAGAAGACTCACCTCGGGTAACTTGGTAAATCTCGAACTCGGTAATACTGGTCTAGCCTCCGCCTAATCACATGGAACAATTACTCTAATCAACACAACTCTCAAAGGCTAGACTAATCTCACTCTAAGTTCTCTCAGAAGGGTAAAAGACCATTTTACCCCTCTTATGGCTCAATGATCCAATCATTGACTAAACCCTAAAAGTCAACAAAAGTCAACCCTCCGGGTTACGCTGCGCGTACCAAATCTGTACGTTGGGCGTACCCGGCGACTTCACAGAATCGGGGAACGCGACCCCCTACGCTGCGCATACTGGGATTACGCCCCGCGTAACTCCCAATTTCATACTCTTTTTGATTTCGGGTCTTAAATGGTTAAGACATATACTCAAACTTCAGATCTGACTTCTCTAAGGCCACTTAATCCATAAAGTTGAAACCTTTAAGCCTTTGCATGGCTGTAAAGGTCACTAATCACTCTAACACCTTTCCTCTTCCCTCATAAAGCCTAGATCTCAAGCATGGCTTAATATTCACGTCCAAGATTGGATTTTTATGAACCCTCAACTCATAATACTCTGAAATATAGTAGATCTAAGCTTATGGAGACCTTTTGCTCATAAAGTCTCCACCTTGGGACCAAAAACCCTAAAAATTGGTCCATGAAGCACAAATCAACAATAATAAGGAAAGCTCTGAGCTTTTTACCTCCAAGTGAAGCTCCTCCCTCTGTAGAACTCAGATCCAAGCTTGCACTCCAACTTCTAGCCTTCACAAGAACCTCCTCTTCTTCTTCACTAACACACAAAGGCACTTTTAGCTCAAGAACACTCACACACAAGCTTAGAACGAAGGTTGGATCTCTCTTAGGGTTTCACTCTCTCAAATGGTGGCTGAGGATAAGGCCATAGCTTTCTTTATATAGGGCTCAAGTCTCATTTAGGGTTTTGAGTCTGGACCCGCTACGTCCAGCGTAGCCTAAGGTACGCCCAGCGTACCGGGTGGAGTCCGCGTCCAAAACACGCCCGTGAGTACGCGCAACGTACTCTTCGGTACGCCCAACGTACTCATTTGCCACAATCTACTTTTAAGGGCTAAACAAGACAACTTAGAAAGAAGGAAGGGTTAAATAGATATACCCAAATTCCCGGATGTTACACGAGGGTTCAAGTCCCGTAGTCTAAGATACTGTAAGGCATGTTTATGCTTATGTTTTGTATCAGTTATGACATCCTAAGATTTTATAAACTAATGAAAAACATTTCTTCGGAAATACTTTTACAGGACCAAATTTTCGCATTTATAAATAAACTCTATTTTAAAATAAACATAAATAAAAGTTTTAAAATGGTCATAAAATTGGGGATGTCACAGTTTATTATTTGATTATAATCTAAGACAAAATATTAATTTAAAAATTATATATATATATATATATATATATATATATATATATATATATATTAAATTTTTTTCTCAAAACCTATAGCCTAAAAATCCAAATATTACACATTTACACCTCCAAACCCTAGTTTTACATAAGTAAACAGTCAGCCCTTCACTTTCTTTACACACACACACACACACACACTCTCTCTCTCTCTCTCTCTCTCTCTCCGTTGGCTATCATCGTCGGCGTTGACTACCGCCACCATTAACCTAAGGACTCTTTGATGCCTGCTCAACCCATCATTCCTTCTTGTTATCGACCCTAATTCCTTTCTCACTCACTAATGCACCACCCCTTCCTTCCTCTAACTTTGTCTCCCCAAATTGTAACAGAGCATCCATCGTCGACGTCGTCATCATTTCGAACACTCCAAAAATGGATTCCACACCCCAGATCTATTATCTTACTTCCATTTGTTGACGATGCTTTCTTTTAAAATGGAGTTGCTTCCATCTTCATGGCAAGCCTGCTCACAAATCTCATATAAAAAATACGGAATTAGTAAATAAAAAAACAAGATTTGAAAAGGTTTGAAGACGATTTCCCAAAAAAACCTAAATTTGATTCAGGTTAGGATTATGGGGGTCACTAGTTGTGCCGTGGAATGAAAGAAAATAATAGAGAGAAAGTCAAAGTATTTTATTAGTGAAATTCAAGATCCCTCTAAGGCTTACAATGGACCATTTATAAAGGGCGATGCTAGATTCGGCAGGTACAACCAAATTTTGAAAACTGAAATCAACAATAAATTTTAATTAATAACCTTCTAAATAAGAAATGGAAGTTCAAAAAGTAAGGAAAACAGATATTTTGTCATTAAAACAGAATGAAATAAAAACATAAATTATTCGAAAATTTAGGGAAATTGGGATTTGGGGGGCTAAGCTGTGGAATTTGAGGGTCGAATATGTTAGGAGCTCCGGCCCATCAATAACTTTTTGTCGATATATCGCACGCCTCCAAATTCATTACATGTCAAAAGTTATGTTCGTTTCACATTGGGTCTCTTTTGGCCCCGTTTGCCTTTCTCCCACTTGTTTATAAAAGTTTCTGCCAGATCATCTATGTGCTCCGCATCAAGTTGAAATCGAGTTACTAAAACATATGATCTATACGATAGAGTGGTTGCACTGACATATGGATTAAAGTGAGAGGCGATGGTTATCGGTGGCAAGGCAACGGCGACGTGGTTGGGCACCGGAGTTGCAAAGTCTGCAATATGCGGTTTTTTTTTATCGCAAATGCAAAGATGAGGGGAAGGTTTGTTAGTTGGGCACAACATAGTAAAGAGATGAGGGTGAGGCAGACAGACGGTGGTCGATGGTCTAGCTCATGAGAAGGGTGTTGTGTGTCTGGTGGTACGAGGTGAAGGAAGGAGATGTGTGTATACCAATGTGGTGAACGACAAGAGATTAGTTAAATGGGGTGGGTCTACCTATTTTCTTTTCTTTTATGAAAAAATTGTTTATATGGATATAAAAAAAATTTCTTTTCTTTTATAAAAAGAATTGTTTATATGGATATTGAACTAACCATGTAAAAATTAAAACTACAGAGACCATCCTCATAAAAAGATATTAGGATATGAACTTATGACCTTTTGTAAATCATATCGACCATTTATGTGATTTTGTCTTAATAGAATTTAATAGATTTCAATTTCTTTTTGCAACCAAATGCAACTTTTACTGAATTTACATTACAGTTCCTTCAATTCTTTTAAAATCCCTTTTAAAATCTGTAAACCAAAACACGCCCTAAGATTCTTCGTTATAGGCCCGTTTGGGTTCACCGTTCACATAAGTCAATTATTTTATTTTTAGAATTTGGAATAAAATATTGACAGACATTTAACTCATTTTCTAAGATATGAATAACTAAGCTATATTTATTTTATCAACTAATTGTGAGACTCATGTATTATATAGATTAATTTTAAAAAAAAGTTAAATAAAAGGGTCAAAATATTTGAAACTTTGAATTTATAAAAAAAATAAGAAAAATAATAAATTATTATAAACGAAATGTTTTTTATTTTTTAAATTTAAACAAATAATTTAAATAAATAAAAAAATTAATGAGCTTTAATTTTGAGAATTTTGAAATTAAAACGTAAGTTTATTAATGAAATTGATATTCATTTATTGCAATTATTACATTAAAATATTATATAAAATTTAACAAAATAGAAAAACTTATAAAATGACATATGCAAAAAAATTAATTCAAAATAACCAAAAATTACATTTGTCAAATTGAATGAGAATGTGACAAGTAGCAAAAAAAATCTTTATATTGATTACAGAGAATTATTTATTAGAGAGATTTATAACGTTGTTATGACATTTTAACAATCTTCAAAAATACATAATCGAATTGATATATAAAGTAATTAAAAAAATCGAAACAAATGAAATACTTTTATAAATGCATTGATGAATGATTATGACCTAAAGAGAAAAGGTACAAACAAAAATAATTACAATTTATGAGGGAGGGTTATCAGGGGCCAACATATGTTTTACGTGACAGATGCAAAATTAAATACAAAGTGTCACGCTATGTTGCGTCACTTTCTTTCCAGAAAAAGACATTTCCTAACAACATTTTTCTTTCCTAAACTGGCAAGACCGCCATTTGCAACTGTGTTCACACTTCATGGTCCACTATTACAATTTATATATGTATATTACTATATATAGCAAATATTAATGTTATTACATTCCATGTACAACTAAATAAAAACTTTATTATACCTAATAATATTTTATATTTTTATATTTCGTTTGACAACCGATAAATATAACATCTGTCAAACTAATACGTATAAAGCTAGTAACAGCTTATCCTCACTTACGTTCTTTTGGATAATAACCAGAACTACATAAGAAATACATATAATTAACCAACAAAAAATTTTCTTCATAAGCTTAGGTTGGACCCGACCTTGCAGAACATACACAGTTTGCTCGACCATCCTTCAACACCTACAAATAAAAAAATGAAAATTTGAATATTCACAAAAATGGTATCCAACGAACAAAACAGAAAGAAAAAAAATAACTTTAAAAAATATAAATAGTAATTAGTTGAGAAAGTTAAGGTTGTTCCTTTGATACCTTGTACTGTTCTTGAAGATCTTTGATGTAATCAACAGCCAAATCCAACATGTCCGATGTGTTTGTTTGCTACCCATAACATAAAGAACATTTAGATTCTAGTTTTCCAAAAGTTGTCTTTAAAGATTACTAGCGTGTATATATTCATGGCCTAAGTCCAAGAACTCATAATATACTTTCATTTATTTGTGAATTATCACATCCTACTTTCATTTCCTTTGTTGCAACATTACTTCCATTTGTGTTCTTATGGAAACGTTGTACTTCGTTAATTACCCAATTATAGCATTATATTTAAAAAATGTGGAATTACAGCAATGAAAATTGTTTAATATTCGGGTGGCACTGCTATAATTGAGAATATTCTCATGTTTGATATTCTAATAGGAAAATTTAAAAATGTGATGTTATAATAGACAAATCGTGAGAGTATATTGTTATTTCTTTCATTTAACCTCTATATATATGTACATATATATGTATTGATAAAAGTCGATACCTTGTCCATGTGTGGGACGAGTTCTTGTAGTTTCCTCATTCTTTCACTTATTCGTGTTCGTCGAACCTAAAGAAATCGATGAATGTTTTAGAAAAAAACCAGAAACCAAACGTCAAAATTACTAAATTACCCTTTCAGCTATGCTTCGTGGATGTGTAGCGCATCCTCGTTTTGCACGAATCTTGCAAGGTACAGAATCTTGAAAATGAAGTAGCTTTTCAACAGCCGCCATTTCTATTGAGGTTTTCGGTAAGCTCAAGTGGTGTGACAACATCGGTATTTGATTGCCAAGATGATCGCCATTCTAAAAATCAAGCAATATACTAAAGTTATAAATGCAAAAAATAGCAATGTACTTCCCATGTTTTTTAGGGAAATTTTGCAGTTTAAACGTTTATATTTTATTTTTCCTAATCAAACATAAATGTTTTAGACGTTTTTCAAAATTAATCATTTCTCACCTTACATAAGTGAAAATGGTTAATTTGGAAAATTACCAGGAATCGTTGGTGAAACCTAGTATAACATGTCAAATTATTTCTTATTATATTTTGAACTTTTGTGATTTGATTGGAAAAGATAAAGTATTAGTAGTTAAACTTCAAAACTGACAAAAACATAATCGTTTTGATCGTTTTCTTTTTGTAATTTGCGAGTTGTTTTTTATTGTAGCATTGTATTTCAAATTATGTTTTATTAGAACATTGTATTTTGAAAAATCTATCAACTATAATAGCATTGTATAACAAGAACAATATGAAAGTGGGGTCAAGAATCCAAGATGTGTTTTGATAAACAATACCCGAGTTTCTATCTCTCTTTTGAGTCCGGTGAAGTTGTCAATGAAGGATGAAGAGTCGTGTTCCCATGAACCGAAAGGGTAATCCGATGCATCGTTAAGGACCCCCGGTTCAACCGTATCGGGCTCGATTTCAGAGATCCGTGGGAGCATTCCTAAAGATGAGGAACTCATTTGTCTCTTTAATCTGCTTGAAGATGAAGTTACATCACCATTGTTGTTCACATTATTTCCCAATCTGTAACCTCCAACTGTACCCCTCATTGCACCATAACCTGCATATTTTTGCTGAATAACATTCAGTAATTAATTAACTCAAGATTGTTATTTTCTTTTTCCGGTTCTTGATTCTTTAGAATATTTGAAAACCCGAATTGAATGAGATAGAAGTGCAACTTGATAGATTGAATATAATTTTAGAAAAAAATTCGGTCTGATTTTGATTATATCAATTTAATAGTCTAAGATGGATTAGAAAAGTCTAAGTGGAATAATAAAGTTTTCAAAATCAAAACCATGTTTTAATCATGGCATGGAAGTTGTGCAAAGTTAAAAAAAAAAAAGGGATAAACATTCATAAGTAGATAGATACATGGATCAAAAGACAAAAGACAGACCCCAAATATGGAAAAGTTTTTACTCCAACAGCTATTACCATAAATGGTAAAAAAAATCCAAAAATCGAGATCCAACTTGAATACGAATTTCATATTATGAAGAAATGATTCGAACTTCAGTCCATTGACATAAACAAGAACGATTTCATGACATACCCAGAAAATAAATAGAAAATTTCGAGGGAAAAGAACATGAATATAATCAAGAACATTGAACAGTACCATTTGGGTGATTGAGGTGAGAGAATAACCCAGCAGGAGAGCTATTTTGTCTCAAAAGACTCGAACCCATTTTCGATTGCTGGCTCAAATTATCAATACCCATCGCCATGGACGAGCTTAAGTGAGCTTCCCTGCTGTATGAATTTGTACTATCCATGCTTGCTTGACTTGTACTTTGTCTCGGATAATGAGATGATTGCAATTGAGGATTCAAAGAGAACCCAGTAATCAAATTAGGTTTAAGATCCACCTCTTCTTGTAGATCTTGATAACTCTGAGAAACCAAATTGTAATTCAACCCATCATTTACATCTCTGGGTTTTTCAATATCATTAACGAAACTCTGAAGAACAGAGCTAGGTGCCGACCGAAACCTGAGCAACCCATTATTGTTCTGATTGCTCATATCAAAATTCATCAAAACCCAACTCTTAAATTAAAAATAAATATCAATAAAAGTTAAATTCTCTGAGAGATGAAATTCATGTGCCGATGCTTTAACATCTAAGAAAAAATAGAGGTGGAACCGATGAATAATGCTTGAGAATCATGATGAGCATGAGTTCCTTTCACCTTTTGTTTTCTTGAATCATTATCAGAATTAAATCTGCTTGGTTTATAAGCTTTGTCGGTATTTGAAACTTGTGGGTGAAGTAAGTAAGGATATTAAATTTTTTAGGGTTATGTGTGGAGATATTTTGTGAGCAGATCTGATGAGAGCTTGATTCGTGTTGTGTGTGTGTTCTATTGTGATGAAACTAAGCTAAAGCAGAAGTTATTAATGATAACGATGACAGGAGATGGGACAATCTTGTAATTTCCTTCAAGTTCAGGAGTAAACTTGCAGTATCGAGTGCTCTCAAATACTCTTAACGAATCGAAAGCAAAAACGTTTGCTTTACGGACATCGAGAGAGAAAAAGTAGGCTAAAATTTTAAAATATAGGAGGATATGATTAAACAGGCGGTTGGAAAAAGATCGACTAAATGAATCATATTTTTTTATAGAATATAATCATATATATTGAATAAAAAGACAGGCAAATTTTCTGAAAATTCTCTTTCTAATTTTGGTTTTACCTTTTTTATTTATTAACTATTACTTACAGAAATTAAGTTCTAAGTCATAAAACCGAGTATTTCAATTGATAAAATGTATAGTTTAGTTAATCTGATGTTAAGTTGTTAACTATAAAACATACAAAAATATTAATATTCTCGTCATTAGTTTAGTCATTCTATTGGCTGCAGTTCAGAACTGCTTGTTGACCTAATTTCTTAATTTATTCTAGTTATATTGGTGCTAAAAATTTGTTATGGAATCGTAGGGTTTTTGTATATAAAAAGGTAAACAAAATTCGTTTATATGAAAACTAATTTTTGACATGTTATTTTTTGTTTTAAATTGGACATTACGTTTTCAATTTGTTATAATTTTGATCATTTGATTGTTTAATTTGGTTGTCTGCTAATATGACATGATAATTGTTAGTTTTGAGGACGTAACATGCTCATATGGCATGATGATATGTTACTTTTAATGACGTGGCATACTTATATTTTTGAAAAAAAAAATACACTAAAAACTCTATTTTTTTTCAATTTCGTTACCATAAGAAAAAGTTTAGCGGTGCAACTTATTTTCCGTTTGCCTTCTCGTTCGTTGTAAGATTATTAAAAAATATTATTAGTCATAAGAAAAATGTTACTAAGATTTTTTTTTTCAATTTTTCAATTTTAATTTTTTGTTCCAAATCGAACATCATTTTTTCAATTTTGGTCGGTGTTGACCATTTTCCATTTGAAACTGTATAAATAATTTTTTTACATTTGAAATCATAAAAATACATTTTTTCATTTAAAAACCACAGTTTTTATATAAATACAAGATTTTTTTTACATTGAAATCATAATTATATGCATAAATATGTTTTGGTTGTATTATAACCGTATTTTTCATTAAATACGCAACATTAAAATGAGTTTGGATGTGTGGAATGCACAGTCATATAAGCTAATGTGATCTTGGGAACATGAGGGTCTTGGGATCGCTTTAATTACCAAATGATCGTTCGTTGTATATATTCATTATTTTTGGTTCTTGTAAATATACTTATTGATTTGTTCGAAAAACTTATAACATCCTAATAATGCATAAAAGATTAGGGTTATAATATAATACAATTTAGTTTGTTATCTATAAAGCTGTTGTATCTAAATTGGATTATGTTATCTATTGTCTCAATTACGCATTTTAACTATTATACCACATTTATTATGCATTTATATGAAATTTGCATGTTTCCAAAGTAGGACGCATATTATTTAGTGAAACATTTATATTTTTTTTTTCATTACGTGTACTTCTTTATTTCTATTATATTCATTTTAAATTTATTTACTTATTTCAACAAGTACATAGAAAATATGGTCAACTACAAATTTAATTAAGTGATCAATAGAAATCATTTTTACATTTCTTGACCAACTTGCCCCAAGTTTAAATTTTGCCTCAAGTTCAATTTTATTTAATTTAGTTATTCTACATACTAAATCTTCAAATTTTAAGATTTATAGTTTTTTTCTAACAAATCAAGAAATATATCTACCCTAATAAATCAAAATCATTTTTTCCACTTGTCACTTCCTCAAGACTTTGCCACATGTCATTATATGATATTTTAAATTTTGTTAAATTCTACATGTCATTATGTGCTATTTTTGTTTTTTTATTAAAATCAATTTCACTAATGAATACATCTAGTAAATATATGTAAAGTATCTATTCTATTAAATGTATAAATTAATCCTTCCCGATTTGTTTATTTCCTACTCATTCTATTATCATATCCTCTCTTATAAATAAAGATCTTTTTACCACATGTCACGTTCTTATTTATTTTGTCACATATAATTTTGTGGTTATTTTAAATTAATATTTATTCCACATGTCATTTTATGGTTTTTTTTTCATTTTATTAAATTCTAGATAGTATTTAAATGCAATAATAAATGTATATCAATTTCATTAATGAATTTTCCTTCTAATTTCAAAATTACTAAATTAAATATTCATTAATTTCTTTATTTATTTATCTAAATTATTTGTTTAAATTTAAAAGAGAAAGAAAAACACTTTAATTTTTATAATTCGATATTTTCTCACTTTTCTTATGAATTCATACTTCTCAAATGTTTAGAATTTTCTATTTAGTTTTTTTTAAAATAAACTCATTTAATACATGAGCCTCACACCTAGTATTTACAATATATATATATATATATATATATATATATATATATATATATATATATATTAATAATTGCAAGAATATTGTTTCTATAAATAAGGCGACAATAATGTTAGAGCAACTCAACAAGCTTAAAAGTCTTAACATGTTTTTTTTTTCAAGAATTGGGTTTTTTTTTACTTCCATACATTAAATTTTTTTTTTTAAAATTTGTGATCTACAACCGACTTCCAGGTCCACGTGGATTGTTTAATTACACATAAAGATGATTTGGTAAAAAAAACAAGCCAATTTTGTAAATCCGCTAATGAAGTTTCGTATAATACTATTAGTTTTATATTTTATATTTTTACCCCTTTATATGAAATTTATGAAGTTTGTTACTTCTTATGTGGACTTGAACTAGGCATTACACAAACACTTCACCATGAAGTTTTAAATTTGAGTTTGCGTGGTGAAAATCAATTTAAATATAAAGTTATAAATTGTTTTTATTTCTCTTGAGTGATTTATATTCCAGTAAATAAAAATAGGAAAATTTATAAAAAAAATGTGTAGGTACTTTAAATTTATTAATAAACTTATAAAGTTAAGTAGAAATGGAATTGTATGATGTTTTTATGTAAATACAAATCAAATGAAAGTACGCTACTATTACTTGTATCTTACTTGACAAACTTGAGAAAAAACAATCAAATATAACATTGTACTTTTATAAATATTCATTTTATCACATTGTACATTTAGAAACAATTATTTTATTGCAATATAGTTTCAAAATCAATCCTTTTATAACCTTATACTTATTAAGATCCTATTGAAAAATATTGTTTTATAATTCCTTAATATTTATTCCTTCGTATTAAGAAGAATGTTTCAAAAGTAATCCTTCCATATGTTTATTTAACATTTATCAAAATATTCTATTGGTTATACAAATATAACAAAAGAATAAATTAGAAAATATAACGTTTTATTAGATATGAAAACAATTGGTTTGTTTTTTTAGTATAATTGGGTAATATGTTGTGTTGTTTTGAATATTGCCCTTTTTTTATAGACGACGTATCTTTTTCAAAATTTATTTATCAAAAGGATGTAGTTTTTATTAAGTAAGTTTAAATATATTTGTTATCTTGACCAATTATCTAATTTATCATTTCAGTTTTATTTATTTTGAAATTTTACCATAAAAATATTTAATTTTTAGACATTGATATTTAAGTTTTTTAATCAACTCGTATAGTATACGGGTCTCACACCTAGTTATGTTATAAAAAAACGTATATAAAATAATTAATAAATAATATGTATACATAACATTATGGTTTGAATGCAAAAAAGTTTGTATATATACAAAACAATATGGTTTTTAAATGAAAAAAAATATATTTATACGGTTTCAAATGTAAAAGATGTATTTATACGGTTTCAAATGGAACAAAAAATGATGTCCGATTTAGAACCAAAAAAATAGAGTGTCGTATCATCAAAATTGAACAAAATTGGAAAAAATGATGATCAATTTGGAACAAAAAAATTTAGTATCAAAGTTGAAATAAAATGAAAATTTAGTGCCAAAATTGAAAAAAAAAATGAATTTAGTGTCTTTTGTGATATATTTTTTTTTCGATTTTGTCATATCAACATGTCATGCTAGCATGTCGTATCATCAAAACTAACACGTCAACAGGCATACATGTTGAGCTGTCAAGTGGTCAGAATTGTAAAAATTAAAAACACAGTGTCTAATTTAAGACAAAAAATAACGTGGAGTCAAAATCAAATTTCTTAATGACGTGGAGTCAAAAAATAACGTGGAGTCAAAATCAAATTTCCATATAAACTTAATGACTTTTATGTTATTTAAGGCAATTCATTTTCTTGTGTAAACAAGGAAGTGGAAGTTGGGTTGTAAATGAAGTTGAGTTGTAAATGTCTTAATTATTTAATGCAATTCATCTTTTACCATTTATTTTACTTTTTACCTTTTATTTTTTATATCATGTTAGTGTCATTTCATTTTCCTCTCTTTTAAAACCAAAGAATAATCACTTTTTATTTTCTTTCATCTTTTTTACAATAGAATTAATTTGATTTTAAAACTTAAATGTTAATAGATAATTTAAATTAAATAAAAATAGTTACTAACAACAAAATAAATAAAAATCTTTATCTATCATTACTTCAAAATAGAAAAGTGCATAATTAAAAAAACAACCAAGATTAAGAAAACAATCAAATATAAAACAATATAGGGAAAATATGTTTTTCGTGATCTTCTACCTCATCCTCAAAGTAAGTTGGAGGGCATGTCCCGAAAGATGATCGATACATTGCCTCAAAAATTACAGATCATCCATATTTTTTTCTCGCATACCTTTTATTTCTTAGGATTTTTTTTTCAAATGACAAATATTCAGCGAAATTCAAATTGTATCAATCAAATGTCTTATCCATTTTCCTCATTTCCTCTAATTCATTGTTCAAATCTCATGCATTTAAAGACAACCCCTTCCCCTTCCTTTTTTGCTTTGTCCCTACACATCGGCCATACAATTTCTTCTAACTT